AAAACTTCACCAAACAACAACCAATAAAAAAAGCAATTAATACGTCATAGTGGTGGGGGGAGGCCGAGAATCAGCTGTAAACAACTACTCACTATTCTTCTGCTTTCCATAACTGCTTAACGTTTGTTTATTATTTTAAATCTAAATTCTAGTTTCTTTATCCAATTCTGAAGAGTTTTGTCACATCAGCTCACGTTATGGCCGGAAGTATTCAATTTCTTTCTTATGATTTCAGTTGTAGGAGTCTCATTGCTTTTTTAACAGTCGTATATTGTTTTTTCCAATGATTTTATTAGATGAACATCTAAAGATTTTGGTAATCCCGTTTGACATCGCGTCTTGTGACGCGATGTGTGTTTTTGAGTATTTTACGTACAGTTGAGAAATGAATTTCGGTCAAATCTGATGTTGCTTGTAATAGTTTGTTTCACTCGAAACCAAACTTGAGATGTAGATTCTTATATACATTGAAAAATACTCTCTATGTTTCAATATTCAAATGCATCCGAATCTTATTCATTGGTAACTCTTTTTCGCATTATTCACCATCGTTATTGGAATCACTACACAGGAAAAAGTCTGCGTTGTTATCACACTTGTTATTACTATGAGTACCTTGTCCAAGACGCCACATTTCAAACAGATAACAAAAATTTTAAGTAATTATAACTGCTCTAAAGACATGAACTTTATATTTGTTCAAGCATAGCAGACTGACTAATAAGAAAATTATAACTACACCAATATCGAATTTCAATACTCAAATCGCAATCAGTTCCTGAACTGAACACGACGGCGATAACCATCTCGGCATTCCCGATTTCTATTCGTCACCGTAACATGACTTAAAATTTAATTTTATGACTCTTCAGCCAGTCATAAAACTCAGGTTAGTAACCGTCAAGTCCACGTGGACTAGTTCGCTGCTGGTTCAATTCCATGTAGTGTTTTTATCGGCCCTTGAGAGTGCCGCCAACTTTCAGAGTGCACAATATCGTTTACTTCGACTATACCTAGTTGTAGTACTCACCTCATGAATAATATTATGCTTGTCTCGGTGGCGGGCGTACAATTCAACGCGCTGCAAATTGTAGGTTGAGTTGGTCATTGTCGAAATACATTGTCTAATAAGCCAATGGGGAATGTTCCTCCTGACGAAAATCAAGTAGTTTTCACAAAAGAGCTCTAAAACAACGCATTTTAAACGTATCATTCCAACCTTTTTCTTAAAAAAATTATTTAAATACTTGAAAAAGAGGAATGAAATAATGCATTCAACATTTAAAGGGATTCGTTTCAATTTCACCATTTCGCAAAATCGGTTATAGCTAATAAAGGACAATGAATCTGTTACCTGTATGAGACAAACAAAGATGACATATATCAGAGACGTGCTGTTCTGTTTACTTTTGTTCCGAGTTCCGAGACATTCTGTGACATGACATTTTGTGCACCTAACCTATCTTCCTCTATATAAATAAATAACAAAACAACTGTTGTTTATGTGGCTTGTGGAGGTGGTATTGAACTATAATTTATATTTTGCCTCAATTGTTGATTTATAAAGATAATTTATCTTTTTTAAAGTAGAACATCTAGGTACGTATACATTATTTCAACTTGATATAGGCGCTGTTGCCAATATATGAATTAGAAACAAATCCCTTTAAAAATTAAAAACCAACATTTGAGAAATCAGTTTGAATACTTTTCGAAGTGAATTTGAAAAACTCATGAATTAAACTCAACTTTATTTTGTTCAAACTTGCATTTGCTGTAATAACCCAAATTGAGGAACATTCCCCATTGTCTCAACTTACACTTTGCATCGCATTGATTGTTTGCCGTGTGCATCATGTTTCGATCACCTAAAAACTCGAGGCAGGTGTTCTCTTATTCCGACGTATATCTTTCCGCTGGCAATCAAAACAAAAAACCATAGAATACATGACCAATTCTTTTTATCATGTTCTTACATAATCCAATTGTGAGTAATGACGGCAGAGCGAATTCAGTTCAGTTGTTCGTTCCTTTTACGCGAATTTGGTTGTCGGTCTGTGTATATCATTTAACTGTGTGTGTTTGTGCCATACCTTTTCGAAATTTTAGCGTTTGTTTTTTTGTCTTTTCGTAGTTCCGCCCGTCCATGTGTTCGTGTGTACGCGTGTGTGCTTCTTTCATAGTTCACAATATCGTCCAGTCTTGTTGCCCTTGTTCTGACTCGGTAAGATTTGTGCACGGTTTTTTTTTTTTCGAAGTTTTCGTTTTTCTTGTTTTTCCAGCATTGCCATTTTAGAGCATGTAATGTTTGTAGTTTTTTTTTGCTTGCTGGTTGTGCAAGCGGATTTTGCAAGAGTTTTTAGTGCTTTGCTCGAGTTTAGTTTCAAGCTTTTTGAGAAACTTTGTTTTTCCTCAAATCATAGTTTTGGCATTGTTTTTTTTTTCAAGTAATTTTTGAAGCCATTTAATAAAACTATTTTTTAAATAAGTTAATCCATGCACTTCTGTCTTGATAATCCACGTTAAATTTTCTACAGTTGAGTCATTTTTCGCAGCTTCATGACTTTAAGGTGACTCAAATTGGCACTTGAAGAAAAATATGTTAAGATGGATTTCCACCAAACGGACTCGCTTGCGACTAGTTTCGTTTTCGAAAACACAAACAAACAACTTGTTTCAGTTTCGAAAACAAATTCGAAACTCGAATTCTACCAAACAGACAGAAACTAAGTATTTGCGTGTTTTGTTTTCACTACACGAACAGCAATTAAATTGGGTAAATTTTCGTTTTGAGGTCACCCGGCGATTTTGAAAAAATTTTTGAGTGTGCTTACGTATTTTGATTCGTAGATTACGAATCGGAAAGAAAAAAGCGACGCTCTCCCTTATTTACAAAGTTACGGCCCTTCAAAGTTCAGAAAAGGGCAACTTTTCAGCCGTCTTTTTCAGAAAATAAACTATTTAAAAACACAAGCATCTATTCACTAGATGCTTGTGTTACACCTTATTCCTCCTTCTTTGACACTTTTCAGTTCAATAACATTTTTCTTATAAAAAACTTAATTTAAAAATGAATGCTTCTCCTGGTGACATTAATCTATTTTTAGGTTAGTTAGTTACTAGTGTCATTTCAGAAAAAAGCGATTGGTATTTGCCGCCGCCTACTATTTCAAATTCGTAATACACCATCAAAAACCAATTTACGATCTAAAAAATGAAGGTAAAAAACATTTGAATTACTTTAGGAATATGAACTGCATCAGTCGTACCAACCATGCCATTAACCTTAAAAACGTAAAACACAGAGAAATGTAACCAAAAAGCAGCTCCGTACATTTTTTAACATTGTTATTGGAAAAATGTTTATTATTGAAGTGAAGTGTCAAAGAAGGAGAAATATGATGTAAAGGTGACCTAGTGAATAAATGGTTGTGTTTTTAAATAGTTTATTTTGTGAAAAAGGAGGCTGAAAAGTTGTCCTTTTCTGAACTTTGAAGGGCCGTAACTTTGTAAATAAAGGAGAGCTCCGCTTTTTCTTTCGGATTCGTAATCTACGCATCAATATACGTAAGTACACTCAAAATTTTTTTCAAAATCGCCGGGTGCCCTCAAAAGGGTGTCTCATCATTTAAGAAAAAAACATGATGCCAATGTGTACAGTGTGTCAAAAAAAACGTCATTTAAGAAATAACATGACAGTTTAACGGGGCTCTATCGTTTCAACGTGCGATTCTTTAATGTGTACAGGGTGTCTCAAAATACGTCATTTAAGAAAAAAACATGCCAGTTTAACAGGTGCCTAACGTTTGAACGTGCGATCCCAATGAGAAACGTTTGAGAATGGGGCAATAGGGGTATTCAGCAATGACATTTCAAAATACGTTACATGCGTTTTTCGTTTTCGTGTTAGTCGAAAAATGAGGGAGTGGGGGCAAAGAAAACACGCGGCATTGGGGGTAATATTATTTTTCTTGAAAGAATGTGAATGTCGTTGAACAGTTGAAATAATCAGTGATAAAAATGATGTCTGAAGAATACATACGGGAAGTTGAAGAGTTTTGTTAACGTGTTCAAGAATTGAAGAGGCATTAAATTTGTCAAAGAAAAAAATATTCTCATTGGGATCGCACGTTAAAACGTTAGGCCCCCGTTAAACTAACATGTTTTTTCTCAAACCATGTATTTTGAGACACCCTGTATACATTGAAGAATCGCACATTAAAACGATAGAGTCCCATTAAACGGTAATGTTTTATTGAATGACGTATTTTGAGACACCCTGTACACATTGATGTCATGTTTTCTTCAAATGATGAGACACCCTGTATATCTCGATGGCAGCCACGTTTTTTCTTTAATCCGATTTTTCATTCATCATTACTATTATACCGTTATTTTTATAATTCAGCCACGTCGTTATCTCTTAAATGAATCTATCCGATACTCATTCCATCCTTTTATGCATCGGTTACGTTGCACACGTCTCTTTCCCACTCACTAACGTAATTACGTGCCCTAGGGTATATGCTCTGAAAGCCATGGATCTGATCTACTAACAGGCCTTCTTACATGTCACTGTTTGGAAAATGATGAAAGAGCAGAGCACATACTTTGTTCCTGCCCCGCTGGGGACTAAATCAGGTTTTTAGAGTTCGGCAGAGCCGTACTCGTACCTTCTGACCTAAAAGACCACTCACCATACAAACGTATCGGCTTCCTTAAGAAACTGGGTTTATTTGCTTGAGTGTGATTAGGTGTGAGCCACAATAAACCCTTGAGGGTTGCGGTGGAGCCTGGATAAGATTTTTGGAGTTCGGCAGAGCCGTACTTTTAACATCTGACCTGAAAGACTACTCTCCATACAAACTAATCGGCTTCGTTAAGAAGCTGGGTTTATTTGGTCAAGTGTGAATATGTGTGGGCCACAATAAAGCCTTGCGAGTTGCGGTGGAGAGTCAAATAGACCCACTCACTTTGGACCTAACCTAACCTAATAATGTTGCCGACCGTTTTCACATCGCGAAGTCAGTTTACAAAAAACGCACACACCGAAACCTCTTGATCTGTCCGCCTGCGACACAAAGTCTTCAAAATGTTTCTTATTTTGGCAACTCAAGTTTTTGTTCTGTCGAAATCGACAAAGTTCCTGTTTTGCTGTAGTTTTGTCCGTTTGGTGGAAATCTGCCTTTAAATATTCTACTGGTAATTTCAGATTGTACCTATTCAAGTGAAACTTCATTGTGGAAGGTTATAAACCCAAAACAACAGTATGAAATATTGAGTACCCCACAACACGTGTTTCGCTATACAATAGCTCAAGCGTGTTCATACATCATGAACTTATTGTACACGAAACACACGTTTCGCTTTACAATTTTCATGACTTTTTTTATTTGTTGGAGGTCATTACAGTTGTCATAGTGCGACATTTGTAGTTTTTATGTCATGATAGAATCAAAGTCGGTATTACCCATGACAGTGCTATATAGAATGCTGCGAGCAGGAAGGTCTAATCGTTCCCAATGAAGCAGTAATGCGATCAGACTGTGGAATATTACGAATAAATCCACTGCAGATGAAGAAGAAGTCGCATGAGAGGAGTACCTTGTGCAGTGTTGCCAGGTCTACTGTTTTTGTCGTAGATCTTCTGCTTTGGCCTTTCGAGCGATTGTTTTAGTATTCTAGAGTTGAAATCTACAGATGACTCAGTTTACTTATATAACAAAATACGTGTTCAGTCGAAAAATTTCAATGAAAACGTCATAAAACGTGACTATTCTAAATCCAGAAATGATCGTTTTATTGAAATTAGTACTAAGTAGATGCTTTAGATTTTAGATGCTTCATCTGAATAATCTCTTGCCCCTTTGCCACCTCTGTATTTTTTCCAAATACATCTCACTTGGGAAAGAACTGAAAATTTGCTTTCATTTTTTGAGAAGAAAATTTTACAACAACCAACATTAATGGGGTAATTATTGGATACACAGAAAATAATCCACAGTGACGAGTCCATTGTTTTTTGAAGGTATATACCACGACAAATTAGAATGAATATCAATTGAGATATGGAGCTACAAAAATACATGACATGGCAAAACTATTGAAACTAAATGTTCATAAGAACTCATCAGAAAATATTAATATCTCAGCTCTATGTAATAAAATTATTTTTCAATTAGGTAGTCATCAATAGTAATTCCTCAAAACTAAAATGTGTCATATTTTGCCAACTTGTATATATTTGTTTATGTTTCAATATGTAACTTTTACACATTAGAAATTATTCTATAGTCTATATATAAGTAAACTAGACTCATCTGTAGGTTTTCACTTCCGAATACTTAGAACAGTAGCTCGAAAGACCAAAGCAGAAGATCTGCTGCAAAAACAGTAGACCTGGCAACACTCAACACGGCGCTCATCTCGTGCGAGTTTTACTTCACCCGCAGTGGATTGATTCGCATTATTCGCTCTCCAATTACATGTCGCACCATGAAAACTATAACTGAATTATTTGTTCAATTTTTGATTTTTCAAACGCTTTAATATAGTTATTTTGCTATTCTGGGCCGAAACAAATCCAACAAATAAAAAATTCATGAAAATCTATCCAGCCATTCTTAAATGGTTTAATCGCTACTTTGTTTTGTATATTAGATTCAAACGCTTCACATCGTGGGAAAAGCAATTTTGCATATTATCGTGACAGATATTTGACAGCGCATTATTCACGTCAGCAAACGTGATATATTATTCTGTCCAACCCACATGCATGTTCATCATAACTATTACAGATATATGAAATTTGATACGATAAGATAAATACAATGATGTTGATTGATGACTACGAGGAAGCGGTCGCTAAAGATAAACCTTCTAGTAGTCTCCTTCCGGATATTACGGTGACATTGTCATGATTAACATATCGGAGACGAGTGTGATTTTTTGACTGTCAGATGCCGATTGCTCAGGATACTGAGTTAGTTATTGAGATATAACAGAAGAGGCTTGCTAAAGTATGTGAATATTGAATGAAATGAAAGTAGAAGGCAGTTTTTCTGACAAGTGTAACTTTATACGCGAATTTTTATTTTTCTCAAANAGAATTTAGATTTAGGTAGCAGTGGAATTATCAAGCTTATAGCAGTTCGGTTACTTTTATATGTAATTTGCAAAGAGTTATCGACGGTGTTTCGAATCATCTTCCAAAATGAATGCAAA